CAGTCAGGCAGGAAGAGGAGAGGAGCAAGGTGGAGCCCTTGCACTAGAAATTGACTGGTTAGAAAGAAAGTGAAGAACTCCTATTGGCCACTGGTTCCCAATGGTGCACCTGGGGCTCCAGTCACACGGAGACTTCTGTGAGACTGTTTCTTCTCATGTCTCCAGAAACTTGTTTGCCCATGTGGGAAACCAGAACAAATCCAAGCTCAGAGTAGAAGTGAGGATGAATTGCAATAAAGCTACTGAAAAACTTACCTAAATCTGCTGATTATCATTAAAATTGGAAGGGAACCTGCCAATAATCCCAATTTTGGAAACTTAAAATTCTATTTCTGAAGGCACAAACTATTTTTGATCATTTTTCCTGAAGAATAATACTTTTACAAGTTTGAAATGTTTCCAGGATATGTGAATGTGGGAGTCCAACAGTGCAGTGAGGCTTGGTAACCACCAGCATGCACGCTGAGTGCCTTGTGAAGTCAGCTGCTCAAAGCCACACGTCCATTACCAATCATGCTCCCTGGGGCCACTTCTCTCCTGCTAAGGGGAACATGTTTCTATCAGACTATGCAGCAGGAGCAAGGGGATTCTGATGTTCATGATATCTTGGTTCCAGCTGAACTTCTCATTCCATAGAGAAGATCCCATTGTCTTACCAAAAGCAATTTTGCCCCGTGGATCGGGACTACCTACTGATACAGAGTGAATGTTGAGAGTGAGACTTTCCCTACACCATGTGTCCTGTCAGGGTTTGCTGGATTGGGGTAAATGCCCCACAAGACCCCTGTGTGGAAGGCTGGGCCTTCCACTTGGCACTGTCGGGAGGTCCTCAGGTCATTGGAAGTGTGCCCCTAACCAGGACTGGGACCCAAATCACAAAGCTACCTGACCTTGGACTTTAACCTCCACATCAGAGGATGGGCTTCTGTTTACTCACAAGCAGCCAGTGCCAGGTATTTCCTCAGGGAGATGCAAAGGTAACTGATTCAAGTTTACATGCCTTCAAATTAGAAAGTCAAAATTTGTTAACATTTTTCAACAAAACAATTACTGTCTGTTTGAAATTGTGAGGTGGTATTTTAAATTGGCAGTTTCCTGAATGCAGAAAAACTTTCATGCTCCTTGTGAATTTTTACATTTAATTTGAATGTAGCATCTCCTTATACCCCATCTATCAGGAAAGGGAGCAATTTGGGGGAGGCTTGGGTGGAGGTCAGGAGGGGCAGGTGGAGGCCAGGTGTTGGTTAGGGTTTGTTTGAAGTATCGCTTGCATCTATTTAGGGTTTATAAGTTATTGACCTGGTTTAAGTGACCTGCTTGCCTGTCATAGCCATGTCCTGTCTGAACTCCCAGTGTTCCACCCAGTGTGGTAAATGGCAGGTGGTGTTGTGTTATACATAGTGGAAATGGTATCATTTTTACTATGATGACGTAAAAACATCACACAATAAACACCAATGTTGTTAGTAGAAACCAATACATTTGCCCCAAATATGGATATATATAACTTTCCTTCCTGAATAGCCTTGCACCCTCTCCTTATGCCATCTTCCACACCATCACCAGTACCCTTGGTTCTAGCAAGTCCTTTGCTGAGAGCACACACCCAACTTCTCTCAGTCCCCATCCTGTCCTTCTACTCAAAGTTGTCTCAAGTTGCACACACACTGAGGCACTCCTTGCCACATGGAGCATCATCTGCTTCCATGATACCTCAGGGTAGCAGGATAACAGTGACGTATTACCTGCAAGACACCAGCTACATGTCCATACATCTCTCATCTGAAGCCCTGGGAGGAGAGGAAGTGACAGAGAACGTTCCAATATCTAATATTCAAGAATTGTCAACTACAACTTCTCCATTCAGTGAAAGTATCTTTCAGTAATAAAGGGAAAATAAATGTTTTCAGATGAACACGAACTAAAAGAATTTTTCAGTGAGGCGCCTCCCCTGAGGGACAGGCTGATACGAGCTCTCCCAACAGCAAGAAAATTAGATTGCTTTTGGATCCTGTAAATTTGCCCAAGTCTTTTACAATTTTAGTAGCACTTTTTCTAGATTTCAAAAGACTTTACATGCAGACATTCATGGGCTCTACAAATAAGGATGGATTTTCCCCTTTTCTTGTAAGGATGGGTTTTAATTTCTTTTTGCCCCCTGGCTCTGGATGGAGCCACCAGCTCAGTGCTGAGTACAAGGTGCGAGCACGGACAGACATTCCCACCTCTTTCCTAATCTCAGAGAGAAGTCTTCAGTCTGCACTGTCACACAGCACAGGGTTTTCACAAGTGCCCCTGTCAAGTTGAGGAAATTTGCTTCTGCACCTGATTTTTGATTTATTTTAATCAGAGCACTAGATTTTTTCAAATGCTCTCTCTGTGGGTGCTAAGGCAATACACATTTCCTCACCTTTAACTTATTAACATAATGAAATATTACATTTGTTAGGTTTTTTGGCACAAGTAAAAAGAGAACAAAGTAAAAAAAATGCCTTTATTGCAGGCACAGAGCAGATCACAGCAGAAAAGAAGGACATGGAGCTTCTGAGGGCCTGGCTGGGGGAAAAAAGGCTATATAGGGCCAGGCTGGGGATGGGGTTCAGAGGATGGTCTGTGTGACTTAGTGGGCAGTGACTGGACAGTGGGTGGGAAGAGGGAAACAGGATGTTGTAAAAAAGGAAGTAGGAAGTTGTAATATGACCAGGGAGGAGGAAGGCAAAGCCTGCCACACAGCCTAGAGTGGGCGGCGCCATATTGGTTCACCACCATGATGACCTAGCAGAATTTTTATTAAGGTGGAAAACCCATCAACATTATTTTACTTTTGGAATGATTGACCATGTGTGAATTCTGTGCAAATGCATTTGGTTGTGTTATATTCTTAGCTTAGTGTTGGATTGACTTTTCTCAGAGTTGCTGATAATTATTATAGATATATTCACAGAAAGGTTAGTCTCCAGGGTCATTTTCTTGCTTTGTAATATACTTGCCTATATTTGGAATGATAATAGTGGCTTCACAGAGTAGGTTGGGAAGTATTCTCTCCACTTGAATTCTCTAAACAATTTAAATAAAATTAGCATAATTTCTTCCTTCATTTTCTGATAGACTACGCCATTGAAAATTTCCTTTCTAGGAAAGGTTTTTAGGTAAAATTTTAATTTTTCTATTTCTTTTCCAGGGCCTTTCAGTGAATGCATGTGTTCCTTCTAAAATTTCCAACTCCTTGGCTTGAACTCTTACCTTATTTCCCTATTCATCTTTACCCTGCAGAGCTGAACCCCCCAAGTCGCTCACATTGATTGCTCATGTCTTCTTTTATTATCAGTATGGCTAAAGTTTAGTCATTTTCATTGATCCTTCTCAATATCAGCTTTGTCTTCATTGATTTCTCTACTTTTTCTGTTCTATTTCACTGATTTCTTTTTCCCATTTTCCTTTCTACTGCTTGTGTTCATTGCTCTTGGTTTCCTCAGGTGGGTGCTGAGGCTGCTGCTTTCAAGATTTTTATCTCCTCTAGCACTGCACTAACTGCCAAGTATTGACTGTCATCTGGGCAGTCAGGACTGGCCAGAGGTGTCCAGCTGAGATGGTCATTCCTGGGATGCAAGTGAGAAGTGGCTTGACTTCCGGTTCTGGCCAGATGTGGGAATAGCTGTATCAGGGAACAAGGGTGTGGGGGATCTGGCTCTCCAGACCTTCATATGTTGGTTTAGCCATCAAACCAGCATGAATTGTTAATAATTGTGACACTGGTGATTCACATGTGGACTTGGTGCTATTGGGGCCAGTCATGTGGCACAACTACATCCCCCCTGACCAGCTGGCATAGAAGGGTTACAGAAGGCTGCACAAAGAAAGTTCCAATCTTCAGATTTTGTACTTGCATCTCTATAAGGAGACCTTGTTTTTATGTTATTTGGGCAAAGCAGTTTAATTCACAGCACTGTAAATTGAAAAGAAAACCCGTTCTAAGGAAACTAAAAACTCAGCACCAGGGAGACTCATGCCATTAATGTCACACCACACAGTGGTTGCTAGGATGGCCTTTAGTGCCAGAGTCTGCCCTGCCTCCCTGCCAATCTTTGGCTATGTGATGTTGAGCAGGCACAGAACCTCCTCAGTCCTTCATGATGGTACTACTCTTTCGCAGAGATGGGAATAAAGAATCCAGGCCAGGACCACTGGCCAGCACCTCAGTCAAATGTGTGTCATTATTTATAAAGTGAACTCTGCATGCATGCAGAGACACAAAGAAAACCTAGGAAGCACAGAACTCTTCATTATCCTCCATGGAACAGCTTTCAGTGTGAGGAAGGCAACCTTTAAGTTAGTCCATAAAGTCAAGGTAAACCAAGTCACTGTGTGTGTGTGTGTGTGTGTGTGTGTGTGTGTGTGTGTGTGTGTACAGTCTGAGGTTTGAACCCAGGGCTTTGCATTGAGCTATATGCCCAACTCTTTTTAATTTTTTTTTTAAATTTGGAGATAGGGACTCACTAAGTCACTAAGTCACCCAGGCTGGGCTCAAATATGCAGTCTTCCTGCCCAAGTCTCCTACAGTGCTGGGATTGTAGGCATGTACCCCTGTGCCTGGATCCAAGTCAGTGTTGTATGGACCGAGGGTCACTGACATATACGAAGTACATAAACAAGTACAACCTGAAAATAAAACAGGGGACATGGTCAAGCCCACTGTGAACACATGTACTTGGGGAGCTGAGGCGGGTTTGTTGAATTGTTGTGGCAGATGCATTCCAACAAAGGTTCTTTTCCTGGAAAAGCAGGTTATAGAGGTTCAGCGATGATGAAGTGTCACAGTGTGTGATTACAGCTGCATAGAGTATGAAGATTATTACTTGGAGATGAGATTTAATTCAATCACCTACAAATCAGAGATTATACTTGTTGGGCATAAGTGAGCCTCAGGGAAACAGCAACCAGCTGAGACCTCTTCAGTTGTTTGTAACTCAAGCACATGAGAAAACATACATACAAGAAAAGCAATTTGCAACATATTGTATAGGAGTTTGGGGGACAGGGCTGGAATGTGACAGGATTATTACATGACACAAGTCTATGTAACTTAGGCAATCTTATCAGGGCAGAAGGAACACATTGTCCAATCAAACATCTCTGGCACTAACATGCTCTTGGGTAACATGTTGTCCTGCAAATTCTCTTGTAAGTTCTAATTATGAATTCCAGGAGCATGGGACTGTTGTTCCCCAAGGTCCCTTCCTTATCTCACTCAGATTCCATCATTCCTTTGCTCAGCATCTCTCCACAGTACAGATATAGGTCTGTGTGTATGTATCATGCACACACCAACAAGTAAAAACATCGAGACTTGCATGTAACTGCCGTGTGTGTGTGTGTGTGTGTGTGTGTGTGTGTGTGTGTGTGTAAGAGAGAGAGAGAGCAAGAGAGAGAGAGAGAGTGTGTAGAATACAACTTGAAGCACTATTCACCCAGCCACTGCTGGCCTAATGTAAGTGTTGTTGGGGAAGGAGAAAAGAAGGGACAGCACTGCTTTGCTTCTCGTTCTGAGTTTTCTGCATTGTGAATGGTATTCCACATGGTGGTAGCACTCAGCTTAGATCACAGAAGTAAGTATGCACAGGAGGAAGCTTTAAATGGGACAGACATTGCCATTCTGCAGTGGGAATGCACAGCCTGTGGCACATGCCTGCTGGTGGTTGAGAGCTGTGTTGTTTCTGAGAGAGATCCAAAATATAAATGACTTATAGAGCAAAATTAAAGTGATACAGTGGAGCTAGGGATATAGCTCAGTGGCTTAAGAGCCTGCCTGACAAGCGCAGGGTCATGAGTTCAACCTCCGGTACCACAAAAAAATGAAAAAAAATGAAAAAAAAATAAAGTGATACAGTGGAAACAGTGAGGTAGACTCTATGGAGATAGGAAAAGGATCTGGATAAAGCAGAGGAGGGAAAGAGAGAATAAATGGGAATAAAATAAACAAGATGCAATTTGTATAAATACCAATTTCTAAAGATGAGTGTACTTATTATGGTAGCAAACATATACTAATCAAAAGGAAGCTCATTGTAAAAAAAAAAAAATCTGTTCTCTGCATGGTATCTCCTAGGAAAATACGGGCAGAGACCCAGAAATTTCCATATACCTAAGGATTGCACGGTGCCTCTACCTGCAGCCCTGTCTGTACTGGATCAATCTGGTAAATACTAAAAACAATGCTGATGATTTGAGTATGACACAGGAGTGAGTAATATGAGGTGCAGAACCTTTCCTTTAAAATGAGCATGTTTTTCTTCAACTACCTGTATAAGGCTTGAAAAAATTGGTCAGATTCTGTGCTACAAAAATGCTTCTTTATGCCTTCCTGCACTTTCCTGTGAGTGCCTGGGGATGTGATCAGGCTCTACCTTTGGTGTGCCTTGAGTGTCCTGTCAGGGGGACTGCCTCCTGCACTATGTGAAAGGAATCCTGATCATCAACTTGATGAAGAGATACCTGGAGAGGTGATTGGATGGGGAGGCACTAACTTCGTAATGGTTCACCTCCTGTTGAGCTCACAGCTGAACTAGCTGTCTGGAGATGGGCCTGGCTGAAAGAAGTGGTCACTGAAGCTGCCCTCCCTGCTTGGAGAGCACACTCAAGCTGTCCTTCTCCAAGCTGGAAGTGATGGCTCCCTTGACCCCCATCTGAGAGGTGATTGCATCTCAAGCCAAGGCTCTGTGGAGCTCTTTTATCCACACCTCTGTCCATCACACATAACAGCATCCTTGCAGAAATTTCCTGTGAACTTGTGGCTCTGGCTCTGTCCAGATGTCTGCTCACACAGGCCACCATCATGTTCCAGTGGTCTCTGGCCACCATGTAGCTCCTGTGTTGGGGAGGGCAGAGCAGACATAGAAGATAATCGTCAGGCACAAATTGTGACAAAGATAGTGGTTATCTGGGTTTTTTCTTTTTTTCTAATCAGTAAAACTAAAAATAGCCTCAAGAATAAAAGGAACCATAACAAAAACAGTCTTCACCACAACATTTATTACCATCATCAATGTGGACAGCGTGGCCTCTTAGGTGATCATACAGACCTTATGCACCAGCATCATCATCAGTGATTCTAGAAAACCAACCTGTTCAGTGCAAGGGACACAGATGCACACAAGAAGCTCATTGTAACCTGCAACTCTTTACAGCTCTAGATGTCTCAGGAGCATGACAACCACAACTGCAGGGATGGAAAGGAAGACATATTTTCTGATGTCCGGTACACAGAACTCTGAGGGCCCTGCCATAGAGAATTCACTTCTGGGTGGACAGCATTGACACCACGCCAGCCCCCAGAGAAACTAGCGCTACATCCAGCTGGGATGGACCACAGAGAGGCTTTAAGTGGGTCAGGCTTCTTGCCACACTATAAATTGTGAAACAGGTTCACAACTTTAAAGCTCATTTACATTTTGCAACCATCAAAACTTACAAGCAAAAAGAAAGTGCATAAACATATTGACCGACTGTATAAAGGATACAAAGATGCTATTAGGATCTAAGAGATAAGCTACAAGGAAAGGGCAAATGTCCCCACAATGGGTATGGATGGGGCACAGCTCATAGCAGCATGGCTCCCCCATTCCGAGGGACTCAGTCACTCTCCAGGCACTGGAAACAAGCTCAGGTGGATGGGGTGCACTGTTGTGGGGACTCCACATCACTCAGAGGAGATAAGGAGGAACTGGGAGTGCAGGCTGCATCATGGAGACAGAGCACTGCCCTGCAAAGAGCCTGGACAGACACAAAGACTCAGTTGAAGGTTACTGCGAGTCACCTAGCCCCTAAACTTCCCAAAAATTGGTGGGGTTTTTTCAGAGGTGGCTGAATCTAGAATATATGATTTAGTCATAGTGCAATGCTAAGGATTAAGGGTACTAGGATTGAGGGTGAGTGATTATTAAATCAGTTCACTGATTGGTTTAGCACCGCCCACATCCTGGTAGCCTGGATACAACATAAAGGAAAGAAAAAGCTTGTCTCTTGCATCCTTTGCTTTCTTCTGCCCAACACGAGCTGCTTTTCCTCTGTGAAGTCTGTCTGTCACGTGACCCTGCCTTAAAACCAGCCAATGAGGGACTGAAACCTCTACGAACTGAGCTAAGAAATTATAATCCCTTTAACTTTATGTGTCAGGTATTTTGTCGCAGTAAGGAGGGAAGTAAATAAGACATGCCCTGTGACTCCCCAGGCATTTGTGGGGCCCTCACATCTAACAAGACAGAGACTACCAGGTCAGTAGTGCTTAAGGCTAGACACCTGTGAAATGCACTCACCAGCAGCAGACTGGTGCCCATCCTGGAAGGGACAGAGGTGTGATCACCAAGGCTAAGCAAGCAATACTCCCAGCCCCTCAAGGTAGAGCTGAGCATGACCCCCTTCACCCTCTATAATGGAGACCCAGACCAGAGCTTTCCATTCCCCGCTCAAGCCTCTAGTCAAATACTGGACTCTAAGGCACACACAGGGGATTTCAGGTGAGCTGGTGCTCTGGAAATGCCCCAGGATATAGCAATGGCCGTCCCCCAGAGACAGCTCCTCATGCTGGGTCAGGGTAAGGTGGCCATGTGTCCATTAGGCCCACAGAGGGAAGAAGACCAACCACCTGTGCCAGGGTCAGCAACCCAGAGTCCGGCTCTGGGAAGTTTCAAAGGTCTAAAGGCAAGACAAACAACTGCCAGAAACAATTCCAGCCAAGTGAGAGTGCGAACAGACACACGGAGAGACCCAAGCCCTCAGACACGCCAGAAAAACCCAACCAGCAGCCCATAGGGACCCAGAGCACCAGGCACAGGACAGAGAGGTCACCACCAAACCCCTCCCAGACCTAGAAGTGGCCCTGGGCTCTCCTAGAAGGAAAAGAAGCCCCTTCAGATTTCTGACTCAAGATTAACCCCAACTCACACAGCAGAAACAGTATCCCCACTGCAGAGCTGGTCATAGCAAGCCAGAGTAGGCACAGTGACACCAGCAGGAATTTTTGTAGTGGCATGTGTCACAGTGAGAGATTTATGATATCTTACTTCAGTACTACTATTCCAACAGTGACACAAGCCCTGTCCAAAAGCTCCACCCTGAATCACAGCACCCTTGGGCATAGGGGCTGTGGGCAGCATCAGAAGTGTGGCAGGCATTGTCCACCCACATGCAGGTCCACCAGCCCTGACTTGAAATCCCCCACCAGACAATGTGCAGGACTCTAGCAGGAACACCTCATGGCACTGCAGTAAAAAGGAAGTTGAGAGCTCCCACAGCCAGGAAGGAAGCAGCCTGAGTGCACCTGGGGACCAAGGAAGAAGGCCTAACTGCCCTTTCACCAAGTGCAAAGATAGGGACACCACATGCTGGTATTTAAGGTAGGGGAGCAAGCCTAGGACGGTGGCCATGGGCAGGCTTGTACTCAACTCCTGAAGTTTTTGTGTCTATAATAGGATCTTTAAAACTGACACCGACGTGGCTAAAGAAAGCATTAGGTCAATGGATGAGGAAGGCAGATTTGCACAGGGTCAGGGAGGGCCTGTGGGACAGAGGCTGTGTCTCCTTTCATGCCCCACATCTAGGGTACCATCAGGATCCCAAGTCCTAGATCAGTGGGCACAGAAATGAATCCTAACCCCTCCCAGCTCACTTTCCCTCCCAGTAGACAACCTAGGAGGTCAAAGGCCTCAGAGTGACTCATTCACTGTGTGGGGACAGTTCCCAACTTGAAAGGACAGCTGAGTGCACCTGGTTCCAAATGGGGCAAACCCCATCTGAGGTGGAGCCCAGAACACTGCTGGGCAAACATCAGGCCACCTGCAGGAAGAATCTGTCCGGAGCACTCCTTCACCCTCACCAGAGTGCCCCCCAGGGCCCCACCCAAGGGCCCTCCAAACCCCTATAGGGCACCACTCTTGGCCAATCCTGTTCTCTAGAAGCTTGTCACCCCCAGGACCCCTGGCTGGCTGCATTCTAGAGTGGGATTTGGGCAGGGTCTGTGTCACTGTGGTATTACTGTGCTGGGTATAACTGCTATACCACAGCCTCATAGCACCCATCAAAAACCCAGCCGTGAGGCCCCACCACAATGTCCCCACAGAGCACTGCTAAGCATACACCCAGGCTTCTGAACAGGGCCTCATAATGGGGTGGTGGTAACACATCCAGAAACCATTGTACAACCTTCAGGGTGGCATCAGGGTCCAATTCTCTGCCTCAGGACCAAACCAGGCAGGACTGCCCCTCCCATGGGGATCATGATGAGGTAGTGAAAGTCACCCTAAAGGCAGTCAGATGTCACTACCAGGGAAACCAGGCCCCATGTCCCTCCCAGGACACCCACACCAGACCAGCAGCCCCACAAACTCTCACCCTCAGGTTGAGCATACAGGGGCCTGAGAAAGGACAGTTGGTGCCTCCACTTCTGGACAGTGTGACTCCCACATCTGTAGGAGCAACCTGAGCAGGAGGATTCCCTGCTCTCACTCTACCTGTATAGGTACTGCCTGCCATCTGCAGAGTTAATGATCCACACCCAAGACTGCACCCCACCCTACACCCACACTGTCCGCAGTCCTACCACCAACAAATTACACTGTCAACAACCCACCCCACTCACCACCAAAGGCTGTGCCCCACACGCAACATTCACTCCAACCCTATCTTGGAGAACCTGTATCAACTGCCTTTGAGGTATAACAGGTAGGCCAGGAGCAGGTGATCACCTGGGGGGACCAAGGCAGGACCCCAGCCTGGGTGGAGCTGACACCCATTTGCTTTCCTGGGGCTCTTTCTGAGAGACACCAAGCCTGGGATCAGCCACATTTGGATTGTCCCTAAGCACCCACAGTTCTGTGGGTCTTATCATTCCTCAGCCTCCCCAGAGTAGCCCACCGGGCTACTGAAAGACAAAGCCTTCTAGCCATGCTTGCCACCTTCCCTGGCACAGGCTCCAGCTCCCAGCATGGTCCTCTGGGAATCCCAGCAGGGACACACGTGCAGCCCCTGGGGACAGGCTTATTTCCTGCCACCTGCCCCTGCCACGTGCATGGGACCTCTCTGAGAGACTTTCCTGGGGAGACACAAACCCAGGATGCTGGGCTAAACATCCTTCCCTGCTCATGATGACCCAAAGAAGGTTGAGAGTTTCACATCAGTGGAACTTAGATCTTGCATAGACAGGGCTTTTTGTGAAGGGCTCCCCCACTGTGGTACTACTATAGCAACTACCACAGTGATGGACCCAGCAGCAAAAACCACAGGGCACCCAGGGCCTTAGGCTCCACACTCTCAGACACCAGGAAGAGCTGAGGTCAGAGACTTTGCCTCCCTCCACCCATCAGGTTCAGGCCACACATAGCATCCCCCCCAGCACCACCCACACAACTTTGAGAGGCTCACAGGCAGCTGCATGGACTCCACCACTTCTGGGCCTCTGCCCCTGAATTTTGCTGCCCAGAACCCAATATTAACATCAGGACCCAACCTGGCTTTTCACCCTTGCCCACCATGCTGGTATCAAGGTTGGCAGTGCCCTAAACCCTCAGGATGACTCTCTGGGCCAGAGCTCAGGGAGCTCCACTCAGTCATTCAGAAATTTTCACACCAGCCATCCCCACCTGGTACCCCCACTGCAAAGGTGCCTCCATTGAGCCCAAGCCCCACTCAAGGCCTTGGAGAGGGATCCCTGGGTCACTTGGACCACAAGGAGCCCCTGTTGGAAACTGGGAGCCTGAGGAGGATGAGCTCACTCTGTGAGAAAGTTACTAGAGTTCGTGGAGACTCGAGCATCTCCCAACATGCTGCTGACCCCAAGGAAAGTGGTCCCATTGATGGCCTGTCATGAATCCA